ACTGTTAAATTATTAGTGATTTACTAATAAATTATCAATAATATACTACTAAATTATTAATGATTTACTGTTATATTATTATGCATTTACAGTTGTGTTATCATTGATTTACTAATAAGTTTTTAATTATTTATTACAAAATTCTCCTTGCTTTACTACTAAATGTTCCATGATTCACTACCAAATTATTACTAATTTACTATTAAGTTATTTATAATTTACTATTAAGCTATCGATATTTACTACTAAGTTATATTAATTTATTTTTAAGTTTTCAATGATAAATTATTAAGTCATAAATTATTTACTACTAAGTTATCATTGATTTACAACTAAATTATTTATAATTTACTACTAAATTTATCATTTAATTACTATTAAACCGAAACAATTTATTATTAAGTTATCATTAATTTACCACTAAGTTATCCTTGATTTATTATTAAATTATCAATGATTAAAACTAAATTATCACTTATTTTTTTATTAAGTTATACTTGATTTAATACTATATTATTATTATTATTATTATTATTATTATTATTATTATTATGCATTTATAATTATGATATAATTGATTTACTACTAAGTTATTATGCATTTATTATTATGTTATCACTAACTACTACTAAATTATTAATTATGTACTGCTAAATTATCATTGATTTACTATTAAGTTACGAGTGATTAACTATTAAGTTATTGATGATTATAATTTTTATATTGATTTGCTTTTAAGTTTATAATGATTAATTTCTAAATTATCAATTATTTATTATTAAATTATAATTGATTTAATTGAGGTATTTTTAAAAATATTTATACACTAATATGATAAATTTGTTAATCATCTTACTTTCCCCATTAATAATTCGTTTCTCTTTAATTCTTCATTTGATTATTATTCTATTATATATAATTTACTTTCTAAAATTAATAAATTTTCTTCTCATTCAATCAAATAAACACATGACATCAATTATGGTATGTTAACTTAATTATAAGGATGCCTGGGTTATAAAATAAAAATATATATATAATATTTCCTTTCAAGAAATCAAATAAGAAAGTCAAATAATTAAGTTTCAATTTAATATTTTCTTTCCATATTAATAATAGAAAAAATAATTAAAAGAAGTTAAAAGTCAACATAATTAACTATTATAATCTTTATATAAACTTAATTATGCAGTTAATTTTTCTTTTTTTTTCTTTTTTTTTAAACCTTTTAAAATTTTTATATCTCATATGTTACGTTATTTTTATTTTTACATTAATCACGTATAGATTAATCAAAAACCCTAAAATAAAAAATTGCTGGTTTTAACTTAATTTTAAACACGTAAAATAATCAAATTAAAGTAAAAAATGAAAAGTATATATTATGAACCACAATAACTTTTCAAGAGGTGTCTTAAACTAACGCTAATCCATTTGGTTGATCATTTAAGCTTTTTGTATATTACTTGTTTTTCAAAAGAAGATTCAAATAAAATGAAAATTAAATAATTTAATTAAAACAATTTTAAAGTAAAATATAAAAAATTAAACTTAAGCCACTATCAAGAAATTAAAATACAACATAAAACTAGCAAAACTTATCCCTACCAAATTTTTATTACTAAATATACACAATTAACAAAATATGAATATCAAGCCTTTTTTTGCGTATGAAAAGCATAATTGTTGTTATCATGTAGAATGACTTTGAATAATAATGTTATTTTTCAAGTTTAGGAGTAGGAAACATTCCTCAAAATTAAGAGAACTAAACATAATTTATAATATAAAGCCTAAATGTGAAATTTCAATGCTAGCTTTAATTCTCATAAACATTTATTTATTTCAAAATAATTTTTAAAGTAAAAGATTTAAAGTAGACCTGCTCATGGGCTGGGCTATCTATCCGAATTTGAAAACCCGCTTAAAATTTTAAAAGGTTTGGACATGAATATTATGTCCGTTAAAAGAGTCTAAACAAATAAATGATGTTCGATCAAAAAATAGGACCAAGCTTGAGTTTCACCATTTGAAGTCTGAACTCGACCTAACTTGGTCCAAAAATTAAAAAATATTTTTATTATAATAGGATAACGTCTATTTACTTTATTTTTTATAATGGATAAGATCTATTTCCTTTATTACTTATAATATGATAAAGTCCACTTTATTCTTTTATGCAAAACATTAAAAAATGATCCAAATCTAAATTGTATTCAACAAAATTAAATTGGATCCAAACCCAACTAACTCATAAATTTAATTAAAATTAGTTAAATTAATAATTTACAAAAAATAAATTTTTTTTTCAATTTTAAATACTAATGCTTTGGGTGGACTTGAATTTTATTGTTACATGTAGAAACAAGCTTGGACAGAAAATGAGACCTGAAAAATCAGATTAGGTCAAACCTGAACTTGCTTAAAATACTTTAATATCACGTTAAGTCCGGTTTGAACTTGGTCCGGCCCATGAGCAACTCTAATCTAAAGGTTCTATAAACTTTATTTGTGAATTTTATTAATCCTCGTACATGTGCATATGTGCCATTTAGTTAATTATAAATCAAGAAATTACTATTAAATTATGAAATAAGTGACCATATATGATTAAAGAAACTTGTGGCAATATAAAATATAATTTGAAAGTAGTAAAATCAAATAAATAGGTAATTTAATCATGACCAAACAAATATAAGTTTTCATGTAAACATATTAGAATTATTTATTAATTCAGTGAACATTAAGTCATGTGCATATCTTAACATGTAAATATTATAATTTTCAAATTAAAATTTATTATGTATTTTAATAATGAAAATAACACTAATGTTATTTGAGGTTGAAATAAAATGAAAACATTTTAAAATACTAAAACATTTTATTAATAATTTTATATTATATAAAGAAAATTTTAAAAATCACCAAATAAGCTGAATATTTGGATTGATCATATAAAAAAAAATCATTAGTAGCTCAATTTGTTTGTAAATTTTTGTATTTCATTATTTATTTTTGGGTAAAAAATGCGTAACTATTCCACTATTTTTAATAATTTGTTATTTTTGTAACAACTAAAGAAACAAATATCATGTAATTATCTCATCTTAAAAGACCACAGTAGCTCAAAAAAATAGGGAGGCTAAAGCATGCAATCAAATGGCAAGAATATGAATTTGAGACAATTAATATTGGCTTTGCTATAGTTTATAAAATTGAATTTACCTTCATTTTAAGTCTTTTGAAGTGCAAATTTTTTTTTGTTTTTTTGTATTTAACTTGAAGAAGAGAAAATTAGAATTATTCACCGTTGAAATTTAAAACATATGCAATTCTTGACTCATCTTGTGTTATTATTTAATTTATAAAATTAGGTCCATGTGTTTTATTTTGTAGTTTGCTATATGTATAATGTAAGTTGGTTAACGTTAATGAAAAAAAAGAATAAAAAGTAAAAGTATTTGCGCAAGCAAGCATTCCATGGACTTTCACATTATTATCTAATCTAATAATAATTGTTTGACGTTGTTATCCAAGGTAATAATAATTCTATTTTTATTTACAATTAATTATGTTTAAATAGAAGTACACCAAAAATATTTTATCCATCGTGATTAATTAATACATTAATTAAGTTTACTATGACTGTCACTTAAAAAAATTACTTTTAATAATAAATAAAATTTGTAAAGATATAAATTGTTAATTCAATAAAATTTTAAAGATATTTTAATCGATCATGTTTAATATTTTTAAATTTTACATTCTTGTATATAGATGATACATGGTATTTATAAATGGACATTGAGTTGAGCTTGAAAACCCTTCCTATGAGAGGTTCTACCAAACTAACAAAATCAAAATTTGTTGACTTGTAGTTGTCCCTGTTAATGATATGATTAAATATTTAATCATATCATTTCTCACATCAACTTTAATAAATAGAAATCATATTTATTAAAAATGATCATTAAATTCGACTTGTCTGATTTGATTCTATCTTTTATATTTCATGGATAATAATATGATTGATCAGACAATCACATGTAAGATATGCTAATGGGGTTGCTGACATGGCCATCTAGGCATAACAAGAGCACTTCTTACTGCTAGATTAGATAGCACATAATAGCATTAGCTACTGCATTAATCTTAGAGAGTTCTTTGGTTTAATAAATCAGGGTGGCATGTTTGATCTTAAACAACTACTATTAGTAGTTCATATCTAAATTGTTTGATTAGATACCTGAACAGTAAAGTTGATGTGAGAAATGATATGATTAAATATTTTAATTTATATATTCATATTATGTAAAATATTTATAATTTATTTATTTTATTTTATTTTATATAAAAATTATATGTAATAATTTTTATTAAGATAAAAATACAAAATATTTATTTGATTTAATTAAATTCATATATAATTTTTGTTAAAGTTTTACATTATATCATTTTTTTATTTTATATTATTTTTATATCGTGTTATCATATTATATTTTAAATATTATAATTTTAAATTATTTTATTTTATATTTTTTATTATATTATCAAGTGTATTTTAAATTGTTGTATCTAATTTTTGCTTTAGATGAACATCCAGCGTAGTTGCAGGGATGAAGATGTTTTTTATTCAATGAGTTTTGACTAGGTGGCAGCCTTTGAAAAGATCCTTAAGCACTTTTGAAGGCCTTTTTTATGCGAAAGATCGACTTTTGGAGATTGAAACTTACTTTCACTTCACATTTTTTTCAGGTTTTTGAGTTAGAGTTCAACTTCTACCGCTTGGATACATGCATCCAACCTAGCTATCTTGATAATGTCCAATTAAATATGACAATCTATATATTTATATTTGTTTATTTCGTATCAAATATATATAAAATACAAAAATTATTGTGTTTAAAATTATCACATCAATGCTCAAGCTCTATTTTTTTCTCTTTGGCTATGCATCCAAAAATGTCCATACAATCAAGATGACTCAATAGTTCATAGCTAACTTTAAACTTTATATATTCTCATGAAATTTGAATATTGTTTGATCATCTTGATTAAATTTCTAGTTCAAGTAATAATGTCTCATATGACATTATTTTCATCTTGTCTTATTAGGAACCAAATCCACTGGATTGAAAGGAAATTATCACTATATATCTGAAGTATTGCGCTAATATAGTTTCATTTTCCTTCTAAAGTATATCTCATGATTTTTTGGATAAAAGAAGAACAAAAGTGAAAAAAATTGATAGTATTTTTTAGTATAAAAGAAGTCACAACCTGAAATGAGAGAAGAGATGGCAAGTGGTGGAATTTGAATTCCAATCCGGCTAAATGTTACTTCTTAAAGATTACTACATGAACTAACTGAAATAAACCTTGAATTCGTACAAACTAATAAAATCTCTGTTATAGCTCATGAATTTCTATATTCTTTCTTAGCTTAAGAAATCTATAAATTAGCAAAGATTGTTTAAGATGTTAGAAGTGGAATTTGCCGAGCAAGAAATTGAGTGACTGGATGGAGTTGGAGATTCTAGATTAACAAAATCTAAATTACAATCTTGGTGATTAGCATATTACTCAACAAAATAAATTTTATGTGCTAATTTGTGTGAACAAAGTAAGAAAAATGATCAGAAAGAACATGAAATGGATGATAAGATACAAACTAATCATTCCTATGAAAATGTTGAAGACAAAGAAAACTATTCCCCATTAAGCACATTTTAAATCATGAAGGATTGAAAGTCAACAATTTGCCTACTTTCTAATTCTAAATAGAAACACTTAGCTGTTAGCTCAAGGTTCTCTGGGTATCAAGAGCCTGGACAAATGTCTATTTTACAAATGCTACATACAAAGGAACAATTAATTCTCCATTTAGAGAATAGCTAAACCGAGTGCTAGTTATAGTTAAAGTACAAAATCTCACCAGGGTTGCCCCTTCCCACCAAGTCGTCGGGCCAACTGAATATCCTTCTTCACTGAGGCAATCAAAGGTAATAAAGTTAGTTTGTTCCTTTTGAAACAAAAAGGGTTAATATTTAATTTAGTCCTCAAACTATACCACTTTTCACGATTTGGTATTTATAGAAAAAAATTCACGATTTGGTACTCCAACTTTCATTCTATCATGTCATTTGCCCTAGACATCAACTCCATTAATATTATGCTGGTATGGTAAGAAATCAGCAAATAAATATGACACGTAGTGCATTTTCATTTGCCAATATCTGTCTGTCATCATTTTACCCATCAATATTAATCAATGGTGCAAAGTTCTTGGCAGAAGCAAAGTTAAGGTACCAAATCATAAAAATTTTTTACAAGTACCAAATCATGAAAAATGATATAATTCAAGGATGAATTTACACATTAACCCAAATGAAAATGGAATAAATCCATAGTTAAACGCATTGCAACCTGTAAAAATAAATATTAGACTCTTTGAAACTGAGAAATCAAGTTTTAAAATGACCATTCAACATGATTAGATGGTAACACCAATAGCCATATAAACTGGGATCACACAAATGGCAATCACAAAAAGTTTTCTAATGATTTTTTCCCTTTACTTCTTTTAGCTTGTTCACTCCATCTATCATCCTACACAGTTTTGTCCACAAAAAACAATGAAAATTATAATGTGCCAAGTATATGTTGCACAATGAATGTGCCTAGACTTACCGGATATAGAGCATAAAAAGAATTTGAGATCAAACCATAGCCAAAATTTCATATGTATGTGTGAAACTAATAACAGAAAATGTGACATAACCGATACCCATCAACACTAATTTTGCTCTTCTATCAAAGAGGAAGCTATATATATTCAGAACCAAGCCCTCCATAAACTTCGCCATGTTTCCATTATTTGAGAGAGATTCAACAGAAGAAAAGATTCATACGCCAAGAGGCTAACTTTTAATACACCCTATGGCAACATTCTGCTTATGTGATCTCCCATCAATATAAACAACTAACTTCAATAAATCAAATACACAACATCAAAGTATCATGTCAAATAAAACTTGGAGCTGACTGCATACTGTTACCATGTTATTACGACTACCTTTAGGTCACTACAACTAGGAAAAACTTAGAAAAACCCTAACATGCAGAGCAAATATCCCCAATATAAACTAGTTCGAACAAAAACAACAACAATTTCTCTACTCTTTAACTTACTCAGTGTAACACGCTTTGCATGAATTGCGCACAGCATTGCATCTCCAAACAATTGAACCAAATAGTCCTCTGCCGCCTACAAAAGCACCCAAAGTCATGTTTTTTGAACTAGAAAGTAGCAAAGATATTGATATATTCCCAAATTGCCTTGCTATTTCTCATTGTAAGATGATATAACAAACTGAACAAACTAAATTTCATCAAGATCATATAATTAATCAGCAAATGGAAATTAGCATAGTAATACAACACTCAGATGCAAGTTCACTTTTTTGGGCACTTATGAATGTAAGATTAAGATATGCTAAGTGTAAAATAGATATGCATGTTAATGTTGATAATACAAACTATGGCTACATGATAATACGGAGACTGGGAATCATGATTTGTAACAGTCCAACCACATGTAAAAATATTAGCTTGCTAGTGAGTGTCTGTGTATTTATTTTTAAAGGCTTATCAATTTCCTTTATAGTAGAAGGTTGGATAAGTTACTGAACCTCTTGAATAACAACTAAAGCTTCAGCTTGCCAACGAGTTATTTCTGGCGCAAATTGGTAGCTAATAGCTCTTACCTACAAAAATTCATATTGAACATCAGTACCTTCTGATTAAGCCTCATAAGTCATAATAACGTTTAGCTGAAAGATAGAGCATAATGCACTCACAGGGGATTTTTTTTTCTTTGAATAAGTCATAAAGGCAATGTTAATGTCAGCTAATTATGAAATTTCAGAGTCAAAGATAGAAATTTAATAAGATGCCTTCTTTTTTCAAATTCGGCTATCGCTCATGCACTCAAATTAATAGAGTATATTTCAATCTCAATTTATATACATGACAGCAACTATACTGCATTGCATTCAATTAGTAATGCAGTGCAGACAGTAAACTAGTTTGGTACATGCATACAATCAATAAGCACCAAAGAGAGAGAGAGAGAGAGAGAGAGAGAGAGAGAGAGATCACTTCTCTGATGAAGCTGGCAGCAGGAATGAGAAGTTTTGTAGTCTTCTGAAATTTTCGAATCTCTTGAAGAGCCCTAGTTCCCGGTCTAAAACGATGAGGCTTCTTCGATGTTCTTTGAACTTCAACAATAAAAAAGCAGAACATTCAATCTTTGATACACCATGAATTTTGTTACTTACAGTGGGGGTTATCAGGTCTAAGAAAAACTCACATGGTGTGGCCTGTCCTCCAGTTTTTCTTGGTCTTCCAGCACGTGCCTTCAGAAACAAAAATTGCAAATCCAACCTTAGATTTATATTGCAGTTATGTTAAACAAGGAAAATTGGGAAAAATGTAGGGAAAAAAAAAGACAACAAAGAACAAATTAAAATGGTAAATTTAGGAGCTAGGAGGTGCGGCAAGGAGATCTTCATCCTCTTTCCCCTTATCTCTTTGTGATTGCTATGAATGTCTCATCCAGCCTCTTGAACCAAGCTGCTTTAAGGGGTGCTTTCAAATTTCATCCCAATGCCTTAAGATTCAGCTTAGTCACCTTTATGTTGCTGACAACCTCATGGTCGTTTGCAAAGGTACTAGAGATTCTGTTCTTTCCATTCAGAGGATTCTTCGAGGTTTTTACAGCATCTTTAGTTTACATATCAACAGTTCTAACTTAGATTTTTTTTGCTCTAGTTTGTCAATTGAGGATATTTCTGCCATTCAATCTTCTACTGGATTCAAAAAAGGTACTCTTCCTGTCACGAAACTTGGGGTACCTCTTGTTTCTAGAAGGTTGAGTGCTAAAGATTGTGATCCATTAACTGAGAAAATCACAAGTATGAAGACTTTCGGCTCTCAGAAATCTTTCTTATCCAGGCAGATTACAGTTAATCCAATCAGTCATGCAAAACTTCTGATGTAGAAATTTCATTCTATGTATATTTGTTCTTGTCTATGTTGAGTTACCATAACAGCTCAAATCTATATTGAGTTTTTCAAATATATGTTCTTGCATTCATTTCTTTGCTCTACTTAGCCATCAAATAGAGGAAGAAGTGAAATTCAAAGAGAAAAATATGAACTTTCACTAAAAGGAGAAGGATGAGAAGAAGAAAAAATCCAGCTTGGGAGTTGGGGAGAGCTAAGAAAAGAGTGGTTCTAAATACACCACTCAAAATTTTCTTCACACTCCAACATATTTCTTCCAAAAATATTCATAAATAAAATACCAATTTTATTCTTTAGTAAATTATAATTTTACCCTTTTTACACTCATGTTTAAGGCTCTTCGAAATCCATTTCCAATAAGCACACGAAAAAACTTTAGTAAAAATCCTAATCTCACGATTTCAACCAAATTAATGAAAAAAAAATCTAAAAATCTTACCTGCTATGAACTTTCACTAAAAGGAGAGGGATGAGAAGTAGGAAAAATCCTGCTAAGAAAATTTCATCCCCTTCTTCTTTGATTTTCCCCCAAAATAATGGGAAAATCAACAAGAAGCCCTAATTTTCTGGTTTTTCCATCAAAATTTTCTCATCAACGACAAAAACCAGAGAAAGAATTCAAACGAGAGATAAAAGAAACAGAGGAAGGAAAGGTTACCGAGCTGGGTGACGCCGTCGACGGTGAAGCCGCTACGGGTAAAAACTAAAAGTTAGCAAAAATCGTAAGTAAATTCTACTGTTTGGAGAAAGAGAAAACGACAGAAAATACCTGATGACTTTGGCTTTGGTTTCTTCGTGGCGATGTGCTTGGTTCTCGCCATGGAAGGACTGGTAAGCTGTGAATCGGTGATTTATGATTTGAAGTTTTATTTCCCGCTCCGTTTAACTTCACATTTTAATGGCCTTTCTCTCCTCTTCCAGGCTATCGCCGCTACAACGGCTAAGTTTGCTTGAAACGATTGCGTTTTGACTCTTTTTTGCACGTTATAGCCCCTGCCAGGCACGTGTGAAACTTCTTTTTCTTTCAATTTTAAAAAATTCAAAGAAATTATAAAATGCATTTTCAAAATAAGGTTTTAGGTTCATTACTCTTTCAAATTTTATATTATTCCCACAACTAAAAGGTTTAAATATAGAAAAAAAACTTTATTGTAAGTGGGGCTTTTTTATTTTACAAATGAGATTAATAAAGTGACATAAATCTCTTAAGAGATATTTGGTTCCAGAGAAAGATAAATTATTTCTAGAAATTGTATTTTTTTATAATTTGACTCCTTAATTTAGTTCATGGTATATGCTTCTTAGGGGTATTTTAAATATCCTAACAATGTCCAAATAATCCAAAATAAAAAATCCATCTCTCTCTCTGAGATTTTTTAAGATTCTTAGAGAAAAAAATTTTTTGTCTCACTTTTAACCTCAATAATAAATTTATTTGGTCTATTTAATCCATCAACATAATTGCATGATAAATTGAGACTCATTTTGACATAGAAAGCTACATTCATAATCACATAATTGGGTAAAATTGTATTCTTAGCCACATGATTGGATACTTGACAACAATTGGACACGTATTAAATTACATATAATAAAAATTATATTTTTAAAAGAACAAACATAGTAGTTATTGCAAAATTAGGATTTTGAATTTTTTTTATTTTCATAAATACTATATTTTTTACATATGAAACATAGTTGATCAATTAAAATAATAACAAAATAAATTAGATATTTTCATTACCAATGCCGTTTCTTAGTTTGGAAACATAGTAATAGATATAACATTATAATAGAATATTGACAATACTTTTAACTACGTTTTTTATGTAAAAAATGTAATATTTGATAAATAAAATTTTTTTATATATCAATAACTATATTTCTTGTTATGGAAACGTAGTCATTGATAAACCATAATTTTTTATTTTTACAAGCACTATGTTATTTACATATGAAACATAATTAATCAATTAAAAAAATAACAAAATAAATTTGATATTTTTAATCAATGACATTTCTTAATATGATAACATAGTAATAGGTATAATATTTATAATGGAATATTTAAGATATTTTTAACTACATTTTTTATGTAAAAAACATAGTGTTTAATAAATATAAATTTTTCTCAATACCAATAACTACATTTCTTGTTATAGAAACATAGTCATTAATAAATATAGTAATTGATTACATGAAAACATAATAACTAATAATGATCACATTTTTTAGTTTGAAAATGCCATTGATAATAGATTAAAAAAATAATAAAATAAATTGATATTTGAATATGATATAAATCACATTTCCTTTTCAAACAACATTATAAAGTTCTACTCAAACCCTAGATCGCATATTTTCTGTTTCACACAATATCACCTTTCAGCTTTATAATTTCATTTCTGTGCAGTTCATTTTAGTTTATCTTTAACATTATACGATCAGTTTACTTTGTGTTTTATACGATATGTTCTATATTATTTGTTTGCATCAGATGTTTTCTTGTTACATTGGTATATCTAGGTTAGATCTTAATTGAAAAGTTATTAATTTATCATATGTGTTCTTGCTATTGATTTTTTGTTCTTGATCTATAAATGTTTTCTTGCTATCTCTTAATCTAATCAAATTTTGTTTGCTATTTGTGTTTTGTTGGACATAGCTTAAATCTTGATCTACTAAATGCACATTATTATTTTCAACACATGTTTTCAACATTAAAAAAAATTCTTCTTATAAACAGTTATGGCTTTTTGTCAATAAAAAAAAAGATGCAATTGGTAATAGTGCTTATTTTGCAAATGAATCAAATTTTGTTTGCTATTTGTGTTATGTTGGACATATCTTAGATCTCAATCTACCAAATACACATTATTATTTTCAACCCATGTTTTTAACATTAACAAAAATTCTTCTTATAAACAATTATGGCTCGTTTGTCAATAAAAAAGAAGATGCAATTGGTATGTTTCAACTGTTGTTTATGGTTACTATGACATTAGTTGCTATGAAACTTAAAAAAAGACATAAAATCTCTAATGCTGATGAAACTCTTGATAGGCTTTAAATTAGGTAACTGAACTTAAACAAAATGGTCTATGAAAATGATATACAGAGTGTAGATAATTATAGAACGGATATGAGAGTTTTTATAAAATTATATCAATTACTTCAAATAGAAGGAGGAATTAAAAGCATCTAGAAATATGTTAATAAAGGAAATGGTTATTAGCTTCCTTCACATCATTATCCATCATACAAAAATAGGGTTATAAAATGTCAAGTAGCTAGATTTGGAGAGACAATTAGTAAACAATTTCATATTATGTTGAATTTTGTATCAAGACTGCATTCCCTATTGTATAAAAAACCAAAATTGATAATAGAGAATTCAATAGATAATGGATAAAAATAATTTAAGGTAATGCATTAATTATTGCTTGCTCTTAATAAATATTAATAAATCTCAATTTTGTATTATGTATTAATCAGAGTTATTGGGTTTAAGGTTATTTGGGTGCTTTAGATGGAACATACATAAAGGTAAATATAGACTCAGTTGATAGGTCTAAGCACAAGACTAGGAAAAATGAAAATTGCTACCAATATTTTTTATGTTTGCATGCTAAACATGCAATTCATTTATATTCTACAGGATATAATGGTTTTACAGCAAATGACAGAGTGCTTAGGGATGTCATTACACATAAAAATGGTTTAAGGATCCCATAAGATATTAACTTTAATATTTTGGTTTTAGTTTTCCTATAAAACACATTTTAAATGTATATTAATATTATGACACTAGATTAGGTTTTATTATTTGTGTGATGCTCGATACACAAATGGAAAAAGATTTGTTGGCACCTTATAAAGGTCAAAGATATCACTTAAATGATTGAAGGCTACACAGCAACATACGACACCTCATGAATACTTTAATATGAACACTCACAAGTAAAAATTGTATTGAGAGATATTTTGATATATTGAAAGCTAGATAGATAATTTTAAAGGAAAAAGCATTTTATCTGATTAAAACATAGTGTAGAATCTTTTTTGTTTATTGCCTTCTTCATGATGTTATTAAGTCTAAGATGCTAATTGACCCTATTGAATGTGATTTTGTTGAAATGAGTAGTAGCCAAGCAAAAGGAGATTATCATCAAAATTTGATTAGGCACATTAAGCCAAGTGATGTTTGAACTGAGTTTAAAGACAAGCCGATAGAGGAGATGTTCACGGATTGGTTGCAATCAAATGGTTAAAGATAATTTTTTTTAGCTATTATAAATCTCAATTTAGTAGTTTTAGATGTGCGGGATTTAGGTTTTGTTTTGAAATAATTTGTTGAACAAACAAAACTTTTAACACCATTAACACAACCATATTTGTCTTTAAAACTAAAAGCCAAGGTCAACACATCTATGCTATCACCAATTTCAATTTCACCGAATATGTATCTTATAGTATCGTCGTCCTAAAACACAAAATACTAACGTAAGTCAATATGATATATTAACATGAACAAATGGGAAAGTAGTAAACGAGATATATATGAACTTATCATCTTCTTAGCCGTTTTTTCAATTACTTCATTAGTATATTCTTCAGTTGTTTATATATGTACTTTTTTTAAAACATCCCATCTTGATATTTTGTTACTTAATTTGGATATTTCCTACAATTATATGTAGATACCCAATTTGGTTTAGGCCCAGATTAATTGGGCCTGGTCCAAATGGGTAAGCACATTTGTAGTTTTATTTTTATTTATTTTTATTATTTATTAATATATTATTTTTTATTTATCTATTAATTTTTTTATTTATTATTATTATTATTATTATTATTATTATTATTATTATTATTATTATTATTTTGACTTTATCTTTTTCTTGATTGATTTTCGGTTGGGATTAGGATAAAAAAAATTAGAAATTTGTCGTGAATTTGGGATTCAATCGGAGTCTGAATTGGATTCAAATATTGAATCCCAATCTAAAATGGAATTGAGATTGATTAGAAACTCTTCTAATCAATCCTTATAAATAGTTTTTGATCAATCCTTATAAATAGGTTCATAAATCACACTGAAAATACACAGAAGAGAACATAAAGAAAACAGAAGCAAAAAAAATTCGAAGGCAGATCTAGAATTTTTAGGAAAATTTTTGGAGATTTTAACATTTTTTTTCTAGAAATTTTTCAGATTTCGATGAATTTTTCTGTGAAACTTGAATTTTTCGACGAAATTTCCCGTCAACTTTGAAGTTTTCAACGTATTTTTTTAGATTTTGATAGAACATTCAATCGGAATCTAAATTTGTTCAGAGAGAAGGAGGAGAAAAGAAGGGAAGAAAGAGAAAATGAGAGGGGAAATCATAAGAAAGACCGAGTTTCAGCCTTATATATCCTCTCCAGCATGATGTTATTTTTGCGTTAGTAAACCCAGAGGATCGGCGCGTTTTGCCAAGACCAACCCGACCCATAGCGCACCCAAACCAGCGACCCACTTATCCGCCTAGGTTTCAGTCGAGCCGTTTTTTGCTTTTTTTAAATTATTTATTTATTTATTTGAGCCGATTCTTTCTCTCAAGCCAAGCTGAGCCGTTTCAAAGTTTTTTTTAATTAATTAATTAATTATTATTATTATTATTTAAAATTATTTGGTATTCCTTATTATTTTATTTTATTTTTTATTTCTTATTTTTAATATTTTTTAAAAATAAAATAAAATAAAAATTTTGAAGAAAAGTTGAAAGTAACAATTTTTCTTAATAAAATAAAATAAAATAAATTTCTAAAATAAAAATTTTCAAAAGCATTTAGAAAAAGTTGAAAGTATCAATTTTCCTTTAAGATAAAAAGATTTAAAAAAATATTTTTAGGAAAAGTTGAAAGTATCAATTTTTCTTGAAATTAAATTTAAAAAAAATATTTTGAAGAAAAGTTGAAAGTACCAATTTTTTTAAAAAATTAAA